GCTCTGAGTTGCACTGAGCAGGGGTTACTGTCGCTGCTTGTGATTCACCAGGTGAGTCACCCTGTTCCTGAGGGGCAGCCCTTGGTGTGGCCTGGCAGTGGCAGCAGTTAAGGAGGGCCGAGCACGCGTCCTGCACAACGAGCCACGGCCGCCCTTCGGGTCCTCGTGCTGTCGTCAACAGAGCAGAAATCATGTGCAATCCTACTTTATCCAATTATCTTCTCCTGTAATTAGGCTCTCCTGGACTTGTCATGCCTGACTGCCCAGAGGGCAAATGAAGGGATTTTTGAGCTCTGTTCGTGTTCGTCCTGAGTGCTGCTGCAAATGGATGTCCAAGCAAGTTGCTCTAATGAGCAGCCTTTGATGGTGCTTGGGCTGTGGCGTGCCCAGACTAACCCTGACAGGTGCTGCTTCCCTGACCCCTTGTTCTTCTCTCCTGCCCAGCTGTGATTACTGCTTGTTCTCCTTTCTTATCCTTAAATCCAAGGAGTTTGTACTTTGCGCTCGTCTCTCATCCTCTGCCCTCCCGTGGTGTTTGTACAACAGCTGGCACTTGGTAACTGGCAGAAATGCAAATACAGGATTTAAAGTTTGTTTCCCTTAGCAGCTAAGTTTAGGCAAACTGATGATTTCAGTAGTCTGTCCTCCCTTGAGAGAGGAGGGGAGGCCCTGTGAGCTACACAGCAACTCAGAAATGGTTTAGCTTTTCATTTCAAGAGCATAAGTCCTTTCATCTTTAAAGCTGAGCTCTTACCAGCTACATCCCTACAGTTACATCCCTACCAGCTACATCAGGACACAGTTCTGATTAGTTTGGTTTCTGCTGCTAATGAATCCCAGGCAGGGCTTCAAATGCAGTTTGGAAAAGTCGAGTACTGCAGGGTGGGGAAGAGAGCAACAGTGAATCTCTGCATAGAGAGGGGGTTACTTCTAACTTGGTGGCTTTGCTGAAATGCTTGTGCTCTGCAATTACATGGTTTCTTGCATGTCCAATGTTTCTGCCTGCTCCTGGAGCCACAGCCCTTGCTAGACGTGAGATGTGGAAAAAGCATTGCAATGTCTAGGAGGGATGGCAGTTTTCTTCATAGCTCCTGAGTGTTGAGTAGCAGCTTGCTTTGCATTTTGCTTGAATTTGGGGTTGGTTGGGATGTTTTCTCTCCCTGTGTTTTGCACTGTGAAAGAAAGGGGATCTGGCCTGTGCCCAGTCGGGGTGTTCTCTGCACACTTCAGTAGTTCTCATGTGAAGCGTGACCCCTTCCCCCTCTGCCTTGTCTCTGGTTACCAGGGCTCCCCAATCTGGTATTTGTGTTTGCAGTATTTGCTTCTGAATAGCTGAGATGATGCACTGAAGCAGTGTCTCTGCCTCAAGTCTGGCTGTAGGGGCTGATAATGTGCAGCACAGATCTGGGCACAGCCAGGGTATGGACCCCCTCTGGACAGATGGGAAGGTACAATGAGGTCTGTTTTTAACCTATTAATTGACTTTCCAAGGAGACATCTGGAGATCCTGAAGTCTTGCTCTTTCCCTGCTCCTTTCTTTATGGGTGCTGTATCAGTGCATGGGAGCCTGAGGAAAGCCCAAAGCAATCCAAATGAGTGGTGAGCCAACCACTTTCTGCTGTAGCTACCTGGTCTCTGAGTTAGCAGAGAAACAGGCTTGTCACTGTTTGCCAGCTGACAGTCCTCACAGCAGTAAGGTTTTAGCCTGGGTAATTTTGCTTTCAGTATATTTTGATGTAAAATGGCTTTTTAACTGTGGGCTTTCTGAACTGTCAGCATACAAGGCAGTCTCCACCACGGGTCCCTGATAACTGTGTGTGTGCAGCAGCCTGTGGCAGGGGACACATCAGTGTTGTGAGCAGGAGTCACTTCTCAAAGCAAACTAAAGCTGGGAAGTGCTTGGTTTAGTTCACCACAGGACCTGGGATGCTTTGACCTCTTTTGGCTGCAACAGTTTTGCCTCCTTTGCTGCAAACCAACCTCATTTTGCTCTTCAAGCTCACGGCTGAAGTTAAGGGCACTGAGAGTGAACAGAGTGGTGGTGAGAGGAGTTGTGATTAAATGGGGAGCTCTGTGGTTGTTTCTTGCCACAAAGACCAGTGACCAGTTGTGTCTCAGTGACCAGTGGCAGAGTGGAGCACAGCCTGCCCACAGGAGCTGCACACAGGCTGGATCAGGGCTTGTTGGATTATGTTGGTTTCTTTCTTGCTGTCCTTGGCAGTGGTCCCTGCTGTTGTGCTGCTTTCTCCGCTCTGAGTTGTAGAAAGCAAGGGAGATGGGGGGCTTGTAGTCCCAGGACATTGCTGAGAAGGGAGGGGGACTTGGTCTGCCTTGTTGCTGTGTTCAGTCATCATACCCACAGCAGGATTATTGCTCCCATCAGGATCAGTCTTGACTTTTCATCACCTCTGTCTCAGCTCCCCTGTGCAGTCACTTCAGATTCAGAAAGAAACCCTCTCACAGCAGAGTTAGTCACCCTCCTGAAATTGCCCCTTCTGGCATGTCTGAGATGCACAGTGTCTGTCCCCTGTTTTGACTACCCAGAAGGTGTCTTAGAGATCACTGAACCATGAGTAGGAAAGGAATCTCGTGGGTTTGTAATAAGTTTGAGTTGGGAAGATGTAATACCTGAGTGGTGGCTCAGGTGAGGATCCAGGACCCCTGGAAGGCTTTCTGTGCACTGCTGGCAACGTGCCCTGAGCCAGGGCTGAGCGGCTTCTCTTGGGTGATATTTGCAGATGGCACTGCAGTGATGCCAAATCCAACAGACTCCAGGAACTTCTGTCCTTGACGTGCTGCAAGCCTTGTCCATGGTGAAATGATCAGGGACCAACACAGGGTGATGGGCTTGAGGGTTGCACCATGCTCCAGTGAAGTCCCTACCTCTTCCTTACAGCATGGCACGTCCCCAGGAGCCCCTGCCTCTCCTGGGCAGCCTGGCAGGACCAGCCTGTTGCAGGATGGGTCAGCCCTGCATGTGCAGGAAGCACATTTGTCTTTAATCCTTTAATTGAGAGTTTCAGTAATTACTTTCCTATAAAGATCAAAAGCCAAGGTACAGGTTCCTTCCTGCCTGGTTCCACACATGGCTGGGAAGATTTCAGCTTCACTGTGCCTGGATCAAGAGAGAGGCGGGTCAGGGCTCTGTTGCTTTGCAAGGCAGGGCGATGGCAGGAGAGGGGGTTGCTACTCTTTCCAATGTCTCTGTGCTGCGGCTGCGTGGGGCTGAGAAGCCTTTTCCCTGAGCAGCTGCTGGTGTTTCTGAAGGAGCTCCCTGTGAGTAATGGGTCTGGCTGCACGCACACTGTGCAGCTGCAGCTCAAAAGAGCAATGTGGATGGCTCTGGGAACTCCAGTGGAATCTGTCCCTGGAGTGACTCTGCTCGGTCTGCAGGCTACAGGCTGTGCTGGCATTTAGCTCTTGTACAAACAGCAGCTACGAGGAGGCTCTCATAGCCATCCTTATCCAGGGACTGGGCAGCATGTGAATGGAATACCTTCTGCCCTGCCTCCCTCTGTCTCCAACAGAGTGAGCCTGGTTCCTGCTCTGTTTGATGACCATGTGCCTGATAGGGGTGCATTGTCTGCTTGCATAAAGCTTGGGTGGATTTTCTTGCTGTCTAAGGCTGCATAAAAGTAAGTGCTTTAGCTCTCTGAGTACAGATTGTCACAGTAAGACTGCTCAGGAAGCGGAAAATGTAAAAACTGGTCACTTTGTTCCTGGCACTAAAACATGTGTTGTTTTTCTGCAGGTACACAAGGCCTGACAGGTCAAGTGCTAGAGATGGTCTGGTTCACTTCAAGAGCAGCTGGTGGTGTTTCTGCACATCCACTAGTGTGGGCAGTTGGTGGAAGATGCCAGGCAGCCTTGTCCTGGGTGTTTTCCTTGCCTTGTGCATCTGATCTTAACAAATAACTCTGTGTTCACTGATGAATAGTAAAGTTCCCTGACCAGGCTTGTGGCAACTGGTCACACCTTACTCTATCATTAAACCTTGTCATCATCCCTGCTTTATAGAGAGATGGCTAATGAGCCTGTCAGATGTTTGCTTGTCTTCTGATTTTGATCGATGACAGACAGGACTTGGTGCTCGATGCTTCATTAGCCCTTCTCCTGCCATGGTGATAAAGCACTCACTCTTCCCTTGTGTCTGTCCCCTTGGACCACGTTTTGTCCCACTCCTCTTTGGTTGACTGATGTGGCAGAGCTGTTTCAGCAAGGCACTGTTTTATGCACCACTGCTGGAGTTAAGCCCCATGAAGCTGCTTCCAGCATTCCTGGAATATTAGAAATAAACTGCTGAGCTCAGTATTCAACTAACCAGCACAAGCATGTAGTGCAGTGGCAAGCAGAGCCAGGCAGGTAGGCAGGGCACAGCTCACCACGTGGGTGCCAGCAGGCATAGAAAATGCTCAAGCTGCACAGTCTCAGATTCCTCCTTGCTGCAAGGATGGGTCAGAGCACTTGGGGTGATCCACAGACCCCAGCTCTGGTGCAGCTCCAGGCTTCTGTGCTGTCAGCTCCAGGGAAATAGGGTGGGGAGCAGCAGTCCCATTCCCTGCAGCTTACTGGTGCCCCCTTGACCTTGTCCTGCATGGCAGTGGTAAGAGTGGCTGGGCAGAGGGGGAGGGAGAGCTCCAGGTTTCATACTGAGCAGGGTCACACTGAGGTGTGAATTCCTACGGTCTTAGCAGCAGCTTCCCCTGGGCCCCCCAGCCCAGAGAGGACAAACGTGCCCAGCAGTGTGGGTGCCAGCGCCACTGGGACCTGCTGGGGAGGTGGGGCTGTGGCAGAGCAGCCAGCACAGCTGAAGCCCTTTGCATAAGGGGCTGTTTGTTTTGCTGAATTGTTAAGCCCCATTGACAATAGCAGCCCCCCCCTCACACTGGAACTGTGATGGCCACACACTGATCCTTTCTCTTGTCTTCAGGCACTGGAATTAGGGTTATTCTTCGCTGAGTCCCTCTGACTGGCTGCTGCTTTTTGTGCTCGCTCTGCAGGCGTACGAGTGGGCCTTGGAAGGGATGCGACACCTTGCCTGTGTCAGCATGGAGGACTGCAGCTCCCCCGAGCACTGTGCAGATGTGATCAAGTGCCTGGAGAGTTACAAGGGGCAGCACCCCGACATCAGCACTGCCCGCTTCCAGGAGATGAAGGACTTGGCCTGTGAGCTGAAGAGTGACAAGGGGCTCAAGCAGTGGAAATTTGCATGGTCTAAATGTCAGGAGACCAAGCTGGTTTTTGAAAAGAAACTCGAAGCAGCCTTGAGAACAAGGAAGTCTCTGCTGTCAGATGGCAGGGCTGCCGGGGAGCAGCCCCAGGCTGGCAGCGAGGCTGGCAGTCTGTTCCACTGGAGGCACTCTGAGGGAGCCACCCCCAGGTCCCACTGGGACAGGACTTACAGCGCGTCCCAGTGTTACAACAGGTCCAACTGCTCTCTGGAGTGGGCTAAGGAGAAACTTCCCTCACCCTCCCTGAGCTGCCCCGGTGATGTCGGTGCTGGGGAAGAAGTTGCCAGCCAAACTGCCCTCAGCCCTGGCCCTCACTCAAGCAGAGTTTTTTTTGCCAGCGGGGCCTGTAAGTCTCCAAAGCTGCCTGAAGAACAGCCAAACCTCGAGAGCATATTAGAAACCTCGGAGGTGAAGCCGCCCTCCGCTTCCACTCCAGTCCCTGGGAAGCTGCCTCCCAGGAGGGTGCTCCGGAAGGCCCAAAGCTTTGACCTGCCTTGCGGGGAGAGCCTGTGGTCGAGCTGCCAGAGGAGCGAGCCGGTCAGGTACGGCAACACCGGCGTCTTCATCAAGGGGCTGGAGGTGAGCAGCACCGAGCTGGTGGACAGGACGTTCGCGCTGCGGCAGCCGGCGGCTCACAGCTGGGCTGCAGACTGCCTGCTCGAGGGACACAGGGGCTGCCTCTCCGCCTCGGAAGCCAAGAGCTGGGGCAGGTAAGTGGCTGGGACGCTTGGTGCTCTCTCAGGGTGGTGAAAAGGCAGCCAGCAGAGATGTGGGGAGCTCTGTAGAGCTTGGTTACTTGAGCACTGGGTACGGGGTGGATGGCTAGAGCTGCATCTCCATGGTTCCTGCACATGTGTGTGTGGTGCTGAGCAAGCACACAGGGATGTCCCCACATAGCCTGGCACCTTTCTTGGTGGGGAGGCAGAGAAATGGGATCTATTGCTCTTCCCTACCAGCATGATTCCTCTCAGAGGGGAAGGAGCAGTTCCCAGGAGAGGGAGTCTCTCGACTTTGCTGGCATTGGAGGATGAGGGGTTGCAGAAACACTATTCAGGGACCTAACAGAGCAGGGGTACAGGTGCAGTGGGGGAGCAGAAATATAGTGCATTGTCCCACATACTTTTGGGCAGTGCTGGACCCAGACTAGTAGGGAGGCATTTCCAGCACCTTGTAACAGTAGCTGCACAGGTAAGAGAGTCTTGGTGTTTGTTCTTTGGGGTTGAAATTTCTGGATGTCCAACAGCTGGCTTTTGTGCTCTTCTTTTCCTTCTCTGTCCATGATGGTCTCAAATTTGTTGTCATAGTTCAATGTGCTTAAGCTGTGGAGAGGCCAGGGATGTGAGCTGTTCTTGACAGGGGGTCTCCAGGCAGGTCTTTCAGCTGCTGTCATTGGAAAAGATTAAAATAAAACTAAAAATTAATGGCAGAGATGAGAAACGAGTGCTGGATGCAGGGGGACCACTGTTACTGCTCTGAGTGAGATGGCTGGGACAGTGAAATCTTCTGGAAGGGGAAGCTTATGGCAGGGAATGAGCAGCAGCAGCCTCCCCATATGTGGGTGCTGAGGCAGTCCTGCTGTGCTGTCCTCTGAACAACCAGAGGAGTTGGCTTGGGAGAAAGCTGAGAGGCAGGGCAGGCAGGGACACGTTGGAGGAGTTATGTTTGATGCTACACTGCCTCACAGTGGCGACCTCGAGTACTTAAGAGGCATCATTAGATGTGCGGAGCAGCCCATGTTAGGAACTGCTGTTTGCTGATGAGGTGTTACACGGTTTGTTTCCTGCTCTTGCTTTTGCGAGGACAAGGGATGTCTGCCCTGCTGAGCTTGGATCAGGATCACAGCCAGCCTGAGGCTCGCTCTCCCTGAACAAGAAAGCTGACAGGGTTTCTTAGAATCACAGGATATCCCAAGTTGGAAGGGACCCACAGGGATAATTGAGTCCAACTCCTGACTCTGCACTGAACAACTCCAAGAATCCCCCCATGTGCCTGAGAGCGTTGTCCGAATGCTTCTTGAACTCTGTCAGGCTGTGAATGCTTCCCTAGGGAATCTGTTCTACTGCCTGACCACCCTCTGGGTGAAGAACCTTTTCCTAATATCCGGCCTAAACCTCTCCTGACACAGTTTCATGCCGTTCCCTTGGGTCCTGTCAGGGCTCAGGGTCAGAGCTATCACAGATAGTTGTTATTATGAGCTTGGGCTGTGCTAAGGGATCGTCTCATCTCTGTGCTGGGTCTCTGTAGAGATTGTGCAGTGCTCTGCAGGCACTGTGGCTGCCGTGGCCCTGCGGCAGCCTGGGTCCCTCCAAGGCCGTGTGTTTGCTGTTGCAGCAAACTGCGGCACATCATCGACGAGATGGTGACCACGGAGCGGGAATACGTGAGGTCGCTCCGCTACATCATCGACAGCTACTTCCCAGAGATGGAGCGCCTCGACCTCCCCCAGGACCTGCGCGGGAAGCGCAGCGTCATCTTTGGCAACCTGGAGAAACTCTATGACTTCCACAGCCAATACTTCCTGCGGGAGCTGGAGAGCTGCTGTAACCACCCCCTGCGGGTCAGCCACTGCTTCCTGCGACACGTAAGGCATCAGCACCTTCCCCCCGGGATCGGGCTCCCCCAGGCACGTGCTTGGCTCCTGAGCCCAGCAGTGCCTATATATTTGGTATGTTAGTGGGCTGTGGCCCTTTTTGGGAGGGGGAGGACTCCCTTGTGCTGGGTTGGTTTGTCCCCTTCCAGCTCAAATGCTAGGTTGGACTGGGATGGCTGTGTGAGGCTGAGCCCAGGTGGCAGCAGATACTCTTTGACTTTCCTATTGCTCTTTGCTACTAAGAGACACTTCCAGGGAAGCAAAATGTCTGCTCCATGAAGCCCACCTGCTTCTGCAGGGGCATCCCATACCCATCTTCTGTCTGTGGTGTAAGGGGGGAATGACTTCAGTGACCAGAGAGGTACAGACCTGCTGCTCTGGGTGAAAAGGGCTGCTGGACAGAAGCATGGGGCACAGGTCTTCAGGTCAGCTGCCCCATGCATGTTTGCTGCTACCAGGTATGAATGATACCAGGTTACTGTTGGGATATGGAAGGGGCAAGGGATGACAGGAGAGTGGATTAAAGGGTCCTGGCTACTGTAGGAGTAGGAAGACAAGTACATTCCCTGGCTCTTAATGAGCTTGAAGCAAAGTCATTCCCAATATCATAGGAGGGAGGCTCTGGTGCAGCCTGGGAGAGGCAGAAGTAGTACTAGAGTAACCTGCCAGGGGCATGGCTGTCACTGTCCCCTGGGAGTGTGGGTCTCACACGAGGATGGATCTCTTCTGCAGAAGGACCAGTTTGGAATGTATGCATTGTATAGTAAGAACAAGCCGAAGTCAGACTCGCTGCTGGCCAGCCATGGGAATACCTTCTTCAAGGTAAGTTCCTCTGCCTGCATCATGATTGCTCAGGGTGTTTGGGTCCTAAACCAATCTGTTTAAACAAACCCAGCTTTCCTTCCTGAGGCAGGCTCAGTGCTGCCTCTGCTTCCCTGGCATGTCTCTGCACAGGAGTATGGGGGGGACAGGGCAGAAGGGCAGCGAGGGCTTTGGAAAGGAGCCCAGCACACAGCAGTGTTGGTCCTGTGGCCTTGCATTTCCCCAATCAGGAGAGCTGTGGGTGTCAGTGCCTGCCTGGGGGCACAGGGAAGCCGCTGCCTTCACTCTGCTGCATTTCTCAGTTGAAGCAGGTGCAGCTGGGGGATAAGATGGACCTGGCCTCCTACCTGCTGAAACCCATCCAGCGGATGAGCAAATACGCCCTGCTCCTGAAGGACCTGATCAAGGAGTGCAGCGAGGCTCAGGAGCAGGAGCTGGGCTATCTCCGTGCGGCTGAGGAGATGGTGAAGTTTCAGCTCCGGCATGGAAATGACCTGCTGGCCATGGATGCCATCCGTGACTGTGACGTACGTTCCGGTGTCCTCCCCTGCCCAGGGGGGCAGAGCCACACTTCTTCCCCTTCTCTAGGCTTGGGGTCTTTGGATTGTATGGTGAGCCTCCCCTCAGATTCCCACAGTGCTCAGGGTGCTGTGTGCCAGTACAGCCTAGCAGGACACTGAGGCGTGGGGCAAGGGAACAGCGGGGCTTGGAGGTCTCCTTGATCTGTCAGGATGGAGGGCCGGGGTGCTGTTACCTGAGTGGGGTGAGCTGCTTGTCATAAACACACTGCCAGGTGCTCACCAGTGATGGGAGGCAGCCTGGCAGCCCTTGCACATGCTGTCCTGCAGGCTGCTTTGGGCCTTTCATCTCTTCTGAGCTGGTGAAAAGAGGGTCAGGCAGTTTGCAAGAAGGAATTCAAGCTGATGCTGATGCCAGGGGTAGGGCAAAATCATCTAGATGGGACTTGAAGGAGAGTCATGCAACAAAGTGCAGAAACCCCAGGGCTCAGGGTGAAGGACAATCAGTCTGGGACAGGAAGAACTGAGGAACTGGCCTTCTGACCCAGATGTGCTCCTGGCTGTTGATGGGATTCATTTCCTCCCCAAGAGAAAGCTCTGGCTGCTGCCTGCAGTTGCCACCCCTGAGGTTTGTCACAGATCTGCACAGGGTGACAGAAGAGGGTCATCTGTGAGTTATGCCTGGGAGAAAGGTGCAGCTCTCCCCTGAGCTTGGAGCCAGTTGTTTCAGCCTGATGTGGTTCTAGCAATGCCTTGCAGCCCTACCTCTTCAAGAGTCCTAAGATACCAGGTAGCTGCCACTTCTTCACCACCTGGGCCACAGCCATATGGGACCCTGTTCTCCAAGTCAAGGTGTGTAGGGCTGCCTGGGTCATCCTGCTGGAGTCTTACTAGGATGTCCTCTGTGTCCAGGTAAACCTGAAGGAGCAGGGGCAGCTGGTGCGTCAGGACGAGTTCACCATCTGGCTGGGCCGTAGAAAGTGCCAGCGACACGTCTTCCTCTTTGAGGATCTGATCCTCTTCAGCAAGCCCAAGAAGATCCAGGGTGGCTTTGATGTGTATATCTACAAGTGCTCCTTCAAGGTAAGGGCAGCTCTGTTACACCCTCTTGTGTGGGAGGTGTCCATGGCTGGTTTCCCCATGGACTTGCCTCTGAAATGGGAAGCTGGGAGCACCTTCAGCAGAAGAGCTGCTCCCACCACTTCTAAGCCTTCTCCAAGCTATGCAGTGAATCTAGAAGTGAATACTTCACACATTAATGCCTAGGCCCTCTCTGTGAGGGCCCTAGGCTGTGAGATGCGGGGCCAGCATTTTCTGAGGGCCGGGGAGTGTGAGGGAAAGGCAGTGTGTGTGTGGCAGGGAAGTGGTGCTAGCTCTGGATGAAGCACTGGAAATTGCCTGAGCTATGTGTGCTCAGCTGCGTCCAGGTCATATCTGCTCCTGGCAGAACCTCAGGCCCTTTCCCACTGGGTGTGCCAAGCTGGAGGTAGCTCTGGCGCAGGGTTCAGGCAGAGTTTACCCTTTCTGCTCCTGGTGCAGCGTGGTTGACGCTTTGCTTTTCTTCTTCCTCACAGACTGCAGACATTGGTCTGACGGAGAACTCTGGAGACAGCGGCCTGCGCTTTGAGATCTGGTTCCGGAGGCGGAAGTCCAGCGACACCTACATCCTCCAGGCCAGCTCAGCTGAGACTAAGCAGGCCTGGACCAGTGACATTGCCAAGATCCTGTGGCAGCAGGCAGCCCGCAATAAAGGTGTGATTCCTCCCTGGGGCGTCTGTGCCGCAAAAGGTGCGGGAGCCCTGTTCAGCTCGTGCTGTCCTGAGTAGGTTTGGAGCCTGTTCCCAGGCAGCTCTGTGCAGCAAGCAGCTGTGTGCTGGCATGCAGCCTCAGGAGCATGTGCTGGGCTTGGCTGGGCATGTCCCTTCCCTGCCCCTCATCCCCAGGGAGCTCAACCAGTCCAAGCTCTGTGTGACTGTAGACACACACCTGGACTCCATGAGAGAAACGGGAGACAGGAGCACAGGGTTTTCTGTCCAGTGAGCACGGGCTGTGCCTTTGAAAGACTCGCTGCTCTCCCTGTGATCTAGGCCACTACTGGAGTGGGAGCTGCCTGAATCAGGCTGGCTGAGTCCCTCCTCTCCCTCCCCAGGCTTCCCGCTTGGCAGGACTCTACTAAGTGGCATGGCACTGAGCTACTTGGCCAGAGCAGGGCATGATTGCTTGTTCCTGGAGACTCTGCAGGGCTGGGGAGCAAGGGGAGAACAGATCCAATCTCAGCAGCTCAGGAGCAGCCAAGCTCAGGAGTGCTCTATCCTGGAGCTGTGTAATGCCTGTGGGGAGGGGAGGGTCAACCTCATAATGTGGCTGTGGGTCTCTTCCTCTCCAGAAATCCGTATGCAGGAGATGGTCTCCATGGGTGTGGGTAACAAACCATTCCTGGACATCAAACCCAGCGAGGCAGCTATCAATGACCGTGCTATTGATTACATCATGAAAGGCAGAGGTAGGTGCCAGCTGTGCCTTCCACCTTGCTCTGGGTAAGCCAGGCAGGACTGATTCTCAGGGCTTTTTTTTAATATTTTCTGGCAGGTGCCAGGACCAGAGCATCGATCGCAGTGTCTCAGTTTGACCATTCCAACCCATTCAAGAGGACGCAAGCGCAGCTCTCCGCTGGCAGCACCCACCCTGCATACAACCCTTCCTCCTCCTCTTCCCTGCTGGGCCCCCTCAACCTCCACATGTATGTGAACCAGGCTCTGCTGCCAGAAGTCCTGCCCGCCAGATGCCCCTTTGACATCGGCACCTGCATTGAGGAGGATGAGCTGGAGCACGAGACGAGCAGCCAACCGTCCCTGAGTACGTGCAGTCCCGCTGCTCTGCGGCACCCGGGAGGGGTGGGCTCGTCCCCTCACCTTGCTCTGCACTGTACAGTCACACCAGGCTTTTGGGGTCACAGCAGTGCCCCAAACCAGGGCATGAGAGCCCTACCCTTCCATGCCAGCTCTGTTTCAGCTTCCACAGGGGGAATTAACTCAGACACAGGGATTATAAAGTGCCTGCTGAGCTGCAGCCGTACCCATGGCAGCCTTGGTGCTGAGTACTGGTGCTGCTGTGGCCTTGGGGACTCATGTCTCTGCCCCTCTGGTATGAAGCACTCTGTCCCTTGCCCTCATCAGCCTGATCCAGTGACCCCTTGGCTTCCCTTGTGTGAACTTCCCTGGCCAGCCCATACCAATCTCCAGCATCCTTATGACTCAATTTCCTTGTGTTGTTTTGTTGCCTGGAGCTTTAAAGAGGCCCAGACAGGAGTGTGGCTGATCTGTGGGCTTTGTGTGGCCAGTGCCTCTGCAAAACAGGTACATTATCAAGTGTATGTGGCACAGGTCATATGCAGCCCAAATTCATGGTTATCAGAGTGACCTTCCTCTCTTTCCCCAGCAACAGAGAGCTCAGAGTCATCGCACTGCATGTCAGCCACGGGCTCCAGCGGCTCCGACAGCGGCTGTGTCTCCAACATCCCACAAGAAAGCTTCTGTGAAGACATGGGCTCGCCCCCCTACGTGCCCATAGGCCCACAGCACAGCTCTGCGGTGGAGGGGAGACCCAGGTTCACAAACAGCCAGTACATTTCTGCAGTAAGTGCAAGCAGCCAAAACACTGTCTTCACTTTGCCTGTTCCTGCAACTGCCTCCCCCGTTCCAGCCACTGCCTCTCACGGGGGCACCGAAGATGCTGCTTTTGGGCTCGGGGTTGCTGTGGGGAAGTGACATTTCCCCTTGCAGAGACTTGGCTCCTCTGGGGCAGGCAAGAGCCCCTCTGGTGCGGGAGCCACCCCTGTGGTGGCCAAGATCCCCGAGGAGATGAGCTGGAAAGGACCTGCAGTGCTGGAGGCTGCACAAGGAGGGGATGCTGCACAAACAGGAACTATAATGCTGTCACGGGCTGGGGTACATATGTTACCTCCTGGGATGGCTGGAGCTCTGCTGCAGATGCTGCCAAGCTCCTTTCCTGGGAGGTTTGGGCCTTTTTGGGGAGCAATGAGATAGAGGAGCAGGAGCCTGTTGCTCTGAGATGTCAGTGTGTCTCCTCTTACGTTCCTGAGAGTTCTCAGCTGCTTGCCTTCCCACTAGATTGTGTCCTGATGCTGTTGTCCTCTAACCCTGTACTAATGCTGGCTTCTCTCCTCTGCAGAAAGCAGGCCAGGTCACCAAAAGTCACTCGAGAATAGTGTGAGCCCCTCGGCCCCGCCTCAGGAAGTGGAGTTGTTGTAAGTAGCCCCTGAAGGGGATTTTCCAGCAGCTCTGAGGGCTGGTCAGGTTTGTCAGTAGCTCTGAGTCAGGGGAACCTCACCCTCCGATTCTTGGTGAGTTTTCCCCATGCATTCCTGACTGGTCTCTGAGGCCCTGATCCATGAGCAGACCAGCTCCCATGGAGCCGACACTTGGAACAGCCAGTCTGATCCATCTGCCTTGCAGAAGCAGAACAACCAAAATCTCTTTCAGGTAGTAGAGGCTTGAGCACCACCTAGTCACCAGTGTTCAGATGAGCTGCTTTTCTCTGAATGCTGCCCTCCTGCCTAACCACTAATCTGTTTCTGGTGGCTGTTTGCCAAAATCCTGCTCTTAGTCCCTCTGAACTGCCCTGGGGAGTCCACAGTATTCTCCCCAAGCTGGATTTATCCCACAGTTTCCTTTGAACCTCCAAAGGAAACTGCAGGTCAGGCAGAGGAACCTGCTGGGCTATGGTCAGGATGTCCTGAAGGAGCTGCCAGATGTTGCTCCTGTACTTAGTGATTTTGGGAGCATGCCTTGTCTGTGAGGAGATCGCTGTTGATCTGAGGACGGGTGAACCCTGACAGGACTTGAAGCCAAGCAGGGCTTCTGTCACGTGGGTGGCAGCCCTTGGAATGTCATGTCAGGGCCCACTCAAACCAGCCTGCTCCTGGCTCAGCTCTCCTCTCTGTCCTTAGGGCTGAGCCTCCCTTTCCACGGGGAGCAGAGGGGTACGAACTTTAGAGGCAGGATTAGGGCTCGAGTGATGGAGGCACAGGGTGGCAGATTGCTCGTAGGTTTAGCACCATGGGGGTGCTACACACACACAGGCCTGTGGCTTGTGATCTGCAGGTGTTCATAATCAGCTGAACAGAACTAGCCAAGGTTCAAATTTAACATCCAGAGCCCCTTCTGGGGGGTCACAGGCAAGACTTTTGGAGTAGCCACAGAAGCCTCAGGTTTGCTGGCCCACGTAGGCTTTGGGCACAGAGTCCTGAGGCACAGAGACAGATCTCCATGTGGGGGAAGAGCCGTGTTTCTCCTGCAAGGCTCTTCCAGTAAAACATTCTTTCCCCACCAAATCTGAGCTCGGACAAATGGTGGTTTTCAAGCGTTTTGCAGAGTCACTGCTGGCCAGGACAGAGGGACCTGTGGGCTCCTGCCCCCTCACGGGAGTGCAGTTGGTCTAACCCATTGCACGGTGCTGTGTTCCAGGTTTGATTGCCATTTCAAACTCCCTGAAGACCCCAGGCCTCTGACCAGCAGAAGGAGACAGTCTTCACCCATGAAGATTTTTTTTGGCCCGTACTCAGGCTCTTCCAAACAGCCCAAAACCTGACCTCTGCCTGGGGGGAAGTCCCAAGAAGGTTTCTGTCAACTACACTTAATAGCTTTGGTGTTGGATGGGACCTTGGGCATTCAAAACTTGTTGCCCCTATATTTATGAGTAATAAGTAACATAACAGTTTGGAGAAAAAAAAATGTATTATTTTTAAAGCTAAGAGCTGTACAGATTTTTGTTACAAGTGACTCTTGTTACTATTTGTTGTGTAAGCTGCACATTTTATAAAGTTTTTGGAAGGGCATGAAATGAAACTGAGGTATTTAAGAAAAGTAGTGTAACTTTCTATTTCAGGGTTATATTGACCTGGACTCAAGATGTAACGTCCTTCCTTATGTTCTAAATATGTCTATTATAGCAATAATTTATTTTCTTGGCTTAACACTTCTGTTTTAATAAAAGCAGTTTCATTGTTGTAGTGAATTGTTTCTTCAGATGGTTCTTCCAGTGCCTCAGTGCTGAGCTAATCTCTGTCATAACCATCTCGCAGCTCTGCCACTCTCCCTGTGCCATCTCTGCACTAACCAACTGCCAGCTGAACCCTGAAATCCTCAGCACATCTGCCAGAAAACGGGAAGATTTCCCAGGTAGAGACTCCCCTGATGCCAGTGGGAGGCCAAGGCAGGCTGAGGAGTTTGGAGCAGCCAGCAGGGGAAGAGGTTCTGGTGGAGGTCCAGAGGCACAGGCCACCAAAGTTCCTGGCTCTGATTGAAGCCACTTAGCCCTTGTAGCTGCTGTCCCAGTGCAAGTCTCTCTCTCCCTGCTGGGCCAGGTCCCAGAGGCTCCGTTCAGGCTCTGTTGTGCCTTGTCCTGGCTGAGCCCCTGGTTTTGGGGTGACTGGCTGCTTGCTTCACTTCTGACTCAGCCCCTCTCCTGGTACTTCAGTCACACGGTCGTGGCTTGTTTGAGGAGCTTTGGATGGTGCTGGCATCCGAGACCAACAGGTTTTGAGTGGAAAGTGTTGGTTATAATGCTGAACCTTAAGTGCATGTTGTTTGAAGTAACACAGCATAACTGGAGGATAAATGTGCCCTGTGTTCCAAGGTGGCTTAGTCACGAGTAACACCCAACTCACTGCGAGGCCGTGACACCCTCCCTGTTCTTGGAGGAAATGAAAATTAGCATTTTTGGAAACACTAGTTATTTGCTGCCAAGCTCCTGTTTACTCCTGGTTTATGCAGGGCTATAAATCAGGCTCCCCCAGGTGTGAGAGGAGTGTCACATTTGGCCTGAGGAGGAAGATGGAGCAGTACTTTGATTAATAAACTGCAGTTTTCTCCCCTCGGCAGTGCAGTGCTGCAGTCTGGGGTGTCACACCCCACAGCCACCCTGGAGACAGTGTGCCTTCAGGTTTGGAAATTCCTGTACTGTATATAAAACACTTGTTTATTTTTAATAAGCTGGATGTTTTTTTAAACCTCGTTCTTTTTTCAAACAGCGAAGAGAACGCAGTTGGACACCTTTGCACAAAATTGGGTGTGAAACAGTTACACAGGGAATATTTTACAAATTACTGTTCTGAGATAATTGCTGGGTTAATGCAAGGTTTTTGGAGCTGTCAAGACAGCAATAGCTGATGTTGTGAGAGGGAGAGAATTTACTAATGCAACAAGAGGGACATGAAATTTCCTGAATTTCTCAGTTTCAAAGGTTTCTGCATTGCTGGAAAGTTGTTTACCTGATACTGTTTTTTCAGGGTTGGATTGATTTAATAAAGGTTATTTTCTTTGTATGGCTCTTGTTTGCATTGTGTCATGGTTTCAGCTTCAGGGTACTGGGGGCAGAGTGAAGCAATTTTCTCTAACCCAACCCAACAGGTTGTTGGGGTGAGGCTGGTGGTACCTCTCATTTTAATACTGAAAAGTACATAAAACTTTTTTTTTCCCCGTTTCACATCTGGCAAATAATGAGAAAAAAGTTTTGTTTTATTGACATAAATAGAACTTTTCCCATTGACTTCCAGAGTCTGGACTGTGTGTCAGGAACCCCAGGTTAGATGATGTATTTTTGAAAAGGTGCAACCACAACAAATGAGCTCCTAATCCAGAGGTGTTCAGCACCACCCCTTAAAATCTTTGTCAAAATTGATATTTTTCAATACTTTTTCCAGCTATTGCCCTTCTACAAGTTAAGTGGCAGTCTCTGTCCCTTCCCCCCCCCCAAGACTAACCATGGGTGTTGATAAAATCTGACAGTGGAAAGCTGTGATCCCACACTGCTCTGTGACACAACACCTCCTGTGGACAATCCATCGTGCCATTTTCCCTAAATAAGCTTGAGGGGCTCAATGGACTGCTGGGAAATCCACCCTTCCCAGGAACACGACTCTCTCTGCTAGTGAGTTACTGGAATTGTGCTTGGCCCTACCCAGTTTATACCCCAGTTCCCAGGCTGGCCATCCAGGTGTTAGAGCCATAAAATCCTGGAATCGTTTGGATCGGAAGGGACCTTAAAGACCATCTCATTCCAAGCCCCTGCCGTGGACAGGGACACCTTCCACTAGACCAGGTTGCTTCAAAGCCCCATCCAACACTTCCAGGGATGGGGAATGCAAGAGGTTGGGTGGAATGTGGGATATTCCCAGGACAGGGGAGTTTTAAGCCCTCTGGATTTCTGGTGATTGATGGATTCCATAGGCCTGACAGATCGATGTGCCTGTGGAGGGAGAGGGCCCTCTCCAAGCATCCCCTGTGTTCCTCCACACCACTGCAGTTTTGGAATTGTTCAGCCTTGGAGCAGAGGCACCAGCAGAGGGGGCAGGTGGGGTGTTTTTCAGCTGGACTAATCCGACTTCGCTGGTCCTGCTGTTAAAAAAAACCGCAAAAATCTGAAGAGAAGGGCAATTTTCCTTTTTGCTAAAGATGTGCAGACAGTGGACCAATCCATTTTTGAGACAATTCCATTAAAAAAACAAAAAAGAAAAAAAAGAAAAAAAAAGAAAAAAAAGAAAAAGAAAAAAAGGAAAAAAAGAAAAACAAACAAACAAACAAAAACCAACCAACCAAAAAAAAAAAAAGAAACCTCAGAGTCTGGATAAAGGAAATTCAAATATTAATGTATGAAAATACACATTTCATGCATCCAGCATGTATGGACTCACCCTTCACTGGCACAAGGCAAAACTATGTTGCAATTACAATAAAAACCACTCGTAGCTAAATAGCAGATTAAATCTTTGTTTCAGGTGTCCATTTAATATTTCCATTTATGCAGACACAGAATAGGAGAAGAGGAAGAACTGTCACCCCCCCGTTTCACATGACAGTAAATTCAGTGGTGTCCCATTAGGATGAATTTATTTTCAGGCAAACTGAACCTTCTCAGGGAGCAACAGAAAGGGCAATCCCACCTTTTGCAGATTAAAACGTTCATATTCAATAAGATCAGGCAGCATAAAATTGTCCTCAAGCACAGCAGCTGCTCTCTTTAACTAGTTAATTAAAACCAAACCCCAAGTGGTGACCGTTGAATGAACTCTTACAGAAAGGTCAGGCGTGAAATTTGGAACATTTTCTGTGCTCACTGACCAGGGCAGATGAGTTGAATGTGACAATTATTTGTTTGGCTACCAGTGACAAACCTTGACAGAGTTATATACACAAACTCTTTGGCATCCTTCTACAGACAATATTATCTAAGAATGAAAAAAAAGTCTAGGGAAGTCACATAGAAAGTCCTTCTTTGCCTGCCAAGGAAGGCTGTGGCTGCAAAATTAATGCTAACACAATAAATGCAATTCAGCAGAGCTGAGAAAAGCTAACTTTGAACTCTGTGTGTAAAAATGAAGGTGCCTAAACACAAAATCATCTTGGTCAATGAATAACCTGTAATTATCAGAGTGATCCTGAACAGGAGCTTCTTTCCACAACAGAGATTCAGGAAATGGAGTGACTTTACTTTCGAGGCTTGAGAAATACCAGTCACTGACATAAAAATGAGTTACCTCTTCTGCAGATCCCGTGACACTCCCTGGTTCCTTCACACCGAAGAGGAAAACCTGTCAAGAGGCAAGAACAAGCCTGTAAACTCTGAAACAGCACAACATTTTATTTTAGAACCCCATTGGGGTTTGCGTTTTATTTTCCATTCTGTGGTGAAAAATAAAAGCATGGGGCAGATGACCTGGAGCATTACCTTCCATTCCCCTGGGTCTGTGTGGCCTTGGGTCGTGGCAGTCAGTAAATTGTGAGGGTTTTAATGGTGTAATCCCTTGGAACAACCCGGTCCACAGCTATCCTGAGGTTGTTACACAGAGCAGCGAACAGAAACACGGCCAATGTTCTCTTAAAATGTTCAAACAATGGCAGTAAAATGAAAATAAGCACCACATAAACTCCCCCACACCCCTGGATGTGCCATTTCGCAGTTAGTCAGGATTTTGAGGTGCAGATATTTATTACTATGTCAGTCACAATCCTCTTGGCGAGACAGAAAATAATTGAATAATTTGGATATTTGGGAAAATTTCTTCACCAAAAGGGTGGTCAGACATTGGAACAGGTTGCCCAGGACAGTGGTGGAGTCAGCACCCCTGGAGGGATTTAAAAGCCATTTGATGTGGCATGTGGGGACATGGTTTAGTGGTGGGCTTGGCAGTGCTGGGGGAGTTGTTGGACTCAGTGATCTTAGAGGGCTTTTCCCACCTGAATAATTCTGTGGTGGACGTGGATTAATCTGTTGTCTGCTAAAAACAGAAAATTTCAGTTCAAACCTGAAAAAAAGCCACAGCAGCCACAGCCAAGGAGCCAGAGGTTGTACTGACAGTGGACAACACAATTCCTACAGCAGAAAACAACATGGGGGAAGATGACATCCAGTGCCTGGAATGTTTTTAGGCTATTTCTCATGCAAGTGGCCACAAACAGGGAGTCAAAAGCATGTCTGGAAAAGGATGTAAATGCATGTAAGAATTGAACTTGCTTCTAGAGACAGTTTGTAGCTCTAGACAGCGCTGATGATCAAAACTCATGGTGGAGAGCAACAGTTAAGTTGCCCCCACAGGATGCTTAGCTGAGAGTTTTTCATAGATATTCTCACCATCAACTTGTTGCTGATACTGCCCGACAATTTCAAAGCAAATTAAATATTTAAATGTAACACAGGGAAAAAAACCCAACAAAACAACCTTTCAAGCAAGAAAGATGAAAAATTTTAAGAGAAAAAACAACCAGACACTAAAATCTTGATATTTCTGAATTTTGGGGCACACTGGAAGAGAGACAGCACCACCAAAACCCCCTCACTCTACCATTGTTCTAAGGAAACTAATCCCATCCCATCAGGCTGAGCCCTCCCAAAGGCCTGGAGGAAGGGGCAAGGCTGCAATTTATCTTAAAAGCCAATAATTAACACAATGCTAATGTGACAGATCTCTTTAATTAGATGCTCTCTGTGTCATTTCTCTTAGAACGAGAAACAGGTGAGAAGCAAGACCCAAGGAATAAAAAAAGCCAAGGAAACCTGGAATATGACAGCTCATAAATTAACTAATAGGTTTTATCATGCAGGATTTTTGGTTTAAAAAAAAAAATTAAAGGGCTTTAGATAAAGATATAGGAGTGCTCATCAATATTTTAATATTTTATTAATATTTTATAAATATTAATATTTTATTAATTCTTAAATATTTTAAATCTCTTTCAAAATAATATTTTTAAGCTTTCTCTGGGGACAAGGTCAGCATTAAAAAAAAAGGAATGTCAATATGAATGCAGGCTAACTCCACACCTTAATATCTATATTTTATATATATCAATAATTTCTACATTAAAAGTTAATATATAAATAAATCTGTACAATAATAACTGCATTCTGGAGCTGTGCCACAGCTCACTGATGGGTTTGTATGTCTTTAACATTCCCTTAGGGTCGCCCAGTATCATTCTGTGTGTTATTCCTGGAAGTCTCAGCTGACATGAAGCTGATTTATTTAATTTCTTTGTTAATAAGCATCCCAGAGGGTGGTTTGGAGGCTGGGTTTTGTGTCAGATTCATGATTTTGGAGCTGTCAGTCTCTCTGATTTTCTCTCTGGGTTTGATTTCTCTGCAATTAAAAGCTTACATGGGTGTCAAAGCCCTGGTGGATGCTTTCAGATGACAGATCCTACAGGGAGGGTGGAAGAAGGGTGGCCAGATGGTGTTTTGGGATAAGGTAGAAACGTTTTCTGAAAAATAAAACATGAAATAAGGATATTTTTATTTTCCCAACAATAAATAAACACTGTATAAACAAATGCCTGGTCCCCGTTGTCCTCTCCAGCCTGTGCAGTGTAAACCAGTTGACAGTTCCAAGCTTTGCTACCGGACAGATCCCGTTTTTATTCGGTGCCTCTGGAGTTTTTCAATCCATATTCAGCTCTCTTTGGCATCTCCCGTGTCCCACCCGTGCTGGCCCAGCCGCTGCCACACAGAGGAGCTGCTCAGCTGTCAGACAGCCCCTCCTGATTCCCGGGAAAACAAACGGAGAGCAAACACTCCCCTGCCTGCCTCCACCACCATCTTCATCCTCACTGAGTCCCAAGTCCAGCCCTGGAAGGATCCGGGTCTGGATGCTCCACAAGATTTCCAGCAGCACTTTCCACCCTTTGGATGGTCTGCAGGGACATCAGTGAGTGCTGTGGCTGTTCCAGTGTCCTCATTTCCCAGGTGTATTTAGGCTGGTTTAGGTGTTACTGATGTGACCACATTGCTGGTCTCCTGCCCTGCCCCGGCTGTGGGGGCTGCACATCACAT